GGGAGTGAACCTTATGTAACACGAATAGCTCCAGCAAACTGAAGCCTACAACTTTACTACACTCTTTCGAGCTCAGCTGAATACTTGGGATGTTTCTCAACCATTGGAAGCCACCTCTGTTGCTGCAACACATAAGCAGATTTCTGTAAAGCCAAGATCAAAATAAATCACTTCTCAGCTCTGGCCAATTAGGAAACTTATTGAAACTCAAACTCCTTCTTGCATCATTCACATGTACAATCACACCTGTTCAACTGCTTGTTAACACAAATATCTACTCAGCCAATCACCCAGCAGCAACTCAATGCATTTAGGCATTCAGATGTGATCAAGGAGACCAGCCAAATTTCAAACTGAGCTTAAAACTGGGGGAAGAAAGGTGATTTGAGTGACTTTGAACATGGCAAGGTTGTCTGAGTATTTCAGAAATGGCTGATCTAGTGGGATTTTCTCATGTGACCATCTCTTGAGTTTACAGAGAGAGAAAATACCCAGTGTGCTATATGGAACCCAATGAGAATCAATAGGAGAATTGATAAGGAATCAAATCGATACATGACAATGATAATGGAATCAGAATCGCACTATTTTTATTAAATCCCATCCTTAGTAAAGACCCTACAACAGTACAGAGAAAACTCCGACAATCAAAGGACCTCCTTTGTTCGAACACTTTGTGAAAGTGGGACAGAAAAACTACCTTTTAATAGGAAGAAACCTCGAGCAGAACCAGGCTCAGGGAGGGGCAGCCACCAGCCTATGTCTTGCTAGACTTGGTGCATGTTCAACTTTTATCACCATAAAAAGCTGCGTGAGAAGGTAAAACTTGACTCATCTAACAGATGTAAGAAAGCAAGAAGCAGGATTCAATTTTTCTTTTTTTCTTTTTTTATTTGAAGGACTACATTAATCCGAAAAATATCAACAATAAAACTAATGACTGCTTGCAGCTCTAGCTTTAATTATATTTGTCTTGGCTGTTTGACCTCTACTTCACACACACACCCTCAAAGGAATTGGCAACAACACAATCGATGAAACATCTTTACCTTTGAAGCCGCCTTATCGCTTCAAGACCTTGAGCCACCGCAGGTTTGAAAACAAAAGGATTGCAGGATGTTTCATAACATCCAACAGTAAGCTGCATGTAATCATTGTGCGAATGTGTTTGTAATCAGTTGGGCTCCGGCTGATATGACAACTATAATCCAGGCTAGTTGTTGAGACAAGGCCGGGATCTGATCAGATAGTGAAGGCTTTAGCTGGAAGCTGAGGCTGGTAGAATCACAGCCAACTCTCTGCTGCTGCTGATTGTTGCTGCTACTCCGCAAATGGAGCACAAGCCTCAGCATGAAGGG